CAGAGCTTTTGGGGGCTGAATGTAGGCTTCAAAGTAAGTTGGATGCATTGAGGGTCCAGGAAACCTCAAGGAAGTCATTCTTTGGGCTCAGAGCAAGTCAATCCCATGGCAGAGGAAAGGGGGCAAGGGGGCCAGGAAGCCCCTTTGGCTAACCAGGGGCATCCAAGATACCTTAAGGGCAAAAATAGAGGTGTACAGGAAATGGAAGCAGGGGGTAGCTAGCAAAGAGGAGTATACTTCTTTGGCCTGCACCTGCAGGGAGTCAGCCAGGAAGACCAAGGCAACTCTAGAACTCAGGCTAGCATCAGGGATTAGGGACAATAAAAAGTCCTCCTTTAGGTATGTTGGGAGCAAAAACAGGGTGTGGGGTAGCATAAGGCCCATACAGGATGGGCAGGCGGGCTTAGTGATGGATAGCAGGGACAAGGCAGAGCTCTTCAATGAGTTTTTTGCCTCTGTCATCTTAAATGGGAATCTAGACAAACCCTCAACGTACATCACGGACACCAACAAAGGGAACATCAGCCAACTAACAGTCAGTGCTGACACGGTAGAAAGACACTTGGAGGGACTGGACGTATTCAAAGTCACCAGGACCGAAGGGACTCCACCCACAGGTAATGAAGGAATTAGTGATCCACTGGCAAGGATACTTGAGCACTCATGGTGCTCGGGTCAGGTTCCAGAGGATTGGAAGAGGGCTAATGACATCCCAATCTTTAAGAAGTGGGGGAAGGAGGACCTGGGGAACTATAGACCAGTCAGCCTTACCTTTATCTCTGGAAAAATCCTAGAAAAAGTTATCTAGGAGCACATCTGTGGGATCCCACGGCCTAATGTGATGTGGAGGGGTAACCAACATGGATTTTCAGCAGGCAGATCCTGCCTGACTAACCTAGTTTCCTTTAACAACAAGGCCACCAGTTGTTTAGATACAGCAGTTGAGGTAGAAATTATCTATCTGGACTTCAAGAAGGCCTTTGACAAGGTATCTCTTATCATCCTTATAAATAAACTGAGGGGATTTGCGTTGGATAATTACACAGTAGACTGGATAGCAAACTGGCTCAAGGGTCACACTCAGAAGGTGGTAGTGGATGGGTTGGTGTCAACCTGGAAAGATGTGGGCACTGGAGTCCCTCAGAGCTCAGTTCTGGGGCCAGTACTGTTCAACATCATCAGTGATCTGGATGAGGGGGTGGGAAGTACCCTGTCCAAATTCACAGACACAAAATTATGGGGTGCAGCTAACACTCTGGAGAGGAGGAACCAGATCCAGGCTGACCCAGACAGGCTGGGGAAGCGGGCAGAGAGCAACAGGATGCAATTCAATAAGGACAAGTGCAAGGTGCTGCATCTAGGGAGGAAGAACTGCCATAAATTGACACTATTTCAACTTTCTGACATCAGTTTCGACTTTACAACACTTGATCTGATGCGACACCATGCCAACAAACAAGTTTGCTGTGTTGCTCATCTCCCTGGAGAACATCTGTCCAAAATTCCTTGGACACTTTCTTTAAGAAAGCAGACAAAACTCCAGAAAAACCTGCAGCCAAGACTCCTGAGAAGAATCCAACCAAGAGCCCTTCAAAAAGTCCAACAAAGTCATCTCAAAGAAGTCCTTCCAAAACAATGATTGGTATTTACAATATAAATACATTAATGTAGCTATTGCTAATCTATAATTGATCGAGTACAAAATTGTGGGGTATTTTTTAGTGAAAACAGGGTATCGGGCCTTGGTTCAGGAACAAATCCCCTATTTGTTTCTTATGAGAAAATTGGTTCCAAGTTGCAATGTTTTGACTTAAGATGCAGTTTTCAGAAACCAATTGTGTTGGCAGTCCTCGGACTTACTATACTTTTAGTTTGAAATCTCTCTCACCCCCCGCCCCCAGTCTAGGGGTGTTCAACCCTTGGCCTGTGGGCCAGATCCAGCCCAGACAGCCATCTAATTCAGCCTGTAGTTTTTCCCATGGGTTCCGAAATCTAGCAGTGGGGGAATGGTGGCAATTCCAAGCCCTACATGCCTGGATTGGTCCTGGTAAGCCAGCCCCATGTGGAGGGGATCAGGCCCCATTCCTGCATGACTAGATCTAACTGGGACGAGATGCAGTCATGTAGGAATGGCTCCAGCTGGAACCTGTTTCTGTGCAGCTGCATCACTCAGGCCTGTATCAAATGTCTGTCCATAGGCAAGATCCAGTCTGTGGGTCTGATCTGACACAATACTGCTCAGACAGCCCATGAGCTGAAATGGAAGGGGCACCACTCTACTAGTCTTTCTTTAAAACTAAAAGAAGCAGTTGTGGGACCCAAGGAGTCCTGACAACAATGTTCAAATGACCAATTTAAGTTACAAAACAAATGACTTCTTGTATTTAATATTTTAGGTGGTGGTATAGAGAGCCAACTCATACAATAGTAAGTTTACTACTGAGCAACAGTAATGTTGGCTGCTGGAAGTTATTTCTACATATTCTGTTGGATTTAAAACAGTCTACAATCATAATTAAGAACATTTTAAAATTCTATCTTTTGGCAACCTCTGCTAGAGTTTACGTGCATTAATGAAGAGTGAAAATAGCATTACATTAAGATCAAGTGCAGCAAGCCAGCTCAATAATACAAATACACCTCAAACTACTTCATTAGTTGTTCCTTTTTCCCTGTACCAATATTATGATGACCTAACCATGGTTCCCAGGTTTAAATAACCAAGGAAAAGGAGGGTTGTAAGTAAACTCTTTGGGGAATGGCATGAAGCTCTAATTCAGAACTGGCAACCAGTTCTTGTCATTCAGGATATCCCCAAACAGTCACTCATTGTAGAGGCTGTTCCCAACTTCCCACAATAGGAAAGGAGTTATGTGAAACGAAGTAATCACTGCAGCAACCTAAAAGGGGCATATACAGTCAATATATTTAATATTAAATAGAGGAAATAAGAATCCATCAAAACTCACGGGGTTTTTTTTGGTTTTTTTAGGAAGAGCATAGCAACTATACAAGTGCTTTTAGAATGTGTGACCCCTCTCCTATCTTGTACTTTTCACTAATATACTAAAACAGACCAAATCTGATGGACTGAGGACACTTGCTGTACCACAGATCAAGATCTGGTCTGTATCAGGTATAAACGTAAGTGAAAATACAGGTGTTTCTATAGAAATTTCAAGAAGCTTCTGTATCTAGTCATATATGAAACTACAGATGAAGATCAATGCTTTATAAACAGACATACTGTATTTTCACACTGATCACATGCCCCCAGATAAGTCACACACCTTGTTTTTGGGAAGGCAAACAAGGAAAAAAAGATTTCTAAAGTTACAGCTGCTGAGAACAGGGACAGAGTCTAATCTTCAGCTGACGCATCCACCCTTTCCTGCTTAACCAAAAACTGAAACATTAGCTGCTTCTGCAGACTGGGGTCTACAGATGGATCTACAATTTTGAAGAGAGTTAAAAATAGTTTACAAGGCTGTGAAATGGAAGAGATGAGGAACAGTTAAAAAATAGAAATGTTCCCACTTAAAACACACACCCCAATTTTGGGGGCTGATTTTTGTAGGAAAAGGTGTGTGTAGTATGTTAATAAATATGTCTAGTAAGAGGTTTAATTTGGTACCAGTGATACATGGCAAAGCAGCTAAAAATTCATGTTTTTAAAAAATGGTGAGAACACCACTAATTATATACTTTTAACAATGCCTTAATTTTCTCTTCCTCCTAAAAGGTTGATAAAGATCATCTAGTTAATCTGAAATTTTTAAATTATTTCTAATAATTTAGTGTCACTTTATTGTTACTTCAGTAAAATAATTATCCTGATTACTTCCTTATTTTTGTAAATAAGCAATTTATACAAAGACACCACTATATTGTCACCTAAGACTACAACCCTCCACGTAGGAAAAAGCTAGCACTGGACAATATATTGAAAATAATCAAATTTGGGTTACTCACCTTTTATTTTATTCACATGCTACATTCTATCCCAATTTTGAAAGGGGCAAATTGGTGGTTTTAAAATAACCAGCGATTACAAGTATGTCATTATAGCTATTTAAATGAACGGAGAATCATGTACCATATATAGCATGGTTTATCAAAACATCATAAATACAAAACCAGTCTTAGATCCTTTTTACCAAACACTTTATTTAGGTTTCTGAATAAACTGCTTTGGCCTTCACATTCTCTCCTGTGAAGAAAGACATGCAAAGCATATTTTATATTCCTTATTTTACTCGTTATTCATCTTACAATTTTTCCCTGATATGAGTGTTTACATCTAAGACATGCTGGATGCAACTGAATGTAGTTTTTTAATTATAAGGCTAGCATCCTGATTTAAGGAGCTCTCTGAAATAGATACCTGAATTTGACTTCCTCTGTAACTTAAAACCTATTCCTTCTATGTACCCATGTATCTTCCTCTAGCTCCATGATTACTCCTCTGTCTATGGCAATTTAATTTTTTTGAACAAGTCTGAAGCTTTCAGTAAACTCTGACAAATAGACTGCACAATCAACAGATGAATATATAAAGCAAAGCCAGCAGGTGGGGTGACCACTACTAGTCATTCCCCATCAAAATAATATCACAGAATTAGAAAGTGATTTAGAGAAGAGAGATTAAAGGGTAAGAATGGAACAAGTGATGAGAAAAAAGTGGGTTTGTTTACTTTGAGTAGGAGATGAATGGGAGGGAACATGACAGAAATACATAAAATGGCACAGAAATAGCACTGGGAATTTCTGTGATCTTAGAACACAAAACAAATGAGATTGAAAGATGATCAATTTAGAATTAGAATTTCTTATTTAAACTCAGTAATAATACTTTTTCCACACAATACCTAATTAAGTGACAGAGGCCAAAATGAAATTCTGCATGATTCAAGAAGGGAGTAGACAGGGATAACAAGAATATCTAGAGTTTATTTATTCAATGTATATGCTGTTCTTCCCAACAAATGCTCAGGACAGCTTACATGAACCATTTTGACAGGATATGTTTCAAGACTTAAGTCAGCTGTTAAACTACATCTCCCCACAACAATGTTCTTAATCTTTCCTTTGAAGTATTGGGTATAAGCCTTACTAGATATCATTTACTTGGCTAAGCAGATCTCTGATATGACCCAGTATGGAAGCTTCTAGGTTCCCATAGTTAATAATTGTTTGGAGGTGGCACATAGATTGAGGTAATAGGTTTTATCTCTAGCCAGTATCATATTAACACTAACTACAATGTCATTAGATTACTCGAGCCTCAGTAGGTAATTTGACACAACAGTTAAAACCATTCTCTCTCTCCAGACAACATATTGACAAGGTATGCAGATCAAACACTCCACTTGTAGTATCTACAATAGTTCCTGTGGATTTAGGATTGCATTTTGTAAGAGTGTAGTAGATATTTTCCACCAGTACATACCAAAAGTGAGAATCATGTTAAAAGATTAATTCAGACACATTATTATTGAAAGGCTTGGGAGAAGTCAAAATGCTCTTTTTAGTAAGTACTGCAGTAAAATACAGTGATATACTTCAAAAGTTTTTATCTACATCTTATGTTAAATATAGCATGGAGAAATGACAGTCAGAAAACAATCCATATGTCTACTGCTTTTACAAGATTCCAGCTTCAAGTACAGATAATGCCTCCTAAGAGTATCGAGTCTTCATTGGGAATTAATTATATTTAAACACAGGAAGACTGTCTTGAAGGTTAACATTCAGTAGTGTTAAATCATACCCTGAAAACAACATCCCTACTAATAATTTCACTTGAATTTATTAGTTAATATGGCATGTGTGTCTTTAGTACAGACCCCCATTTCCCAGTAAGATTAACAGAGAAAAAAAGCACTAAAAACCCTTAGGATATCCCCTTTTTAACTGGCTATGCATCCTAGCAGCAGTATTTCCTTGATACCATCATATACCAACAGATACCTAAATATCATTTACCTTGAAGGAAAGTCTCTTGTACTTCATTCTCTGTTGCATGGGCCTGACTTTCTACTAACAGATACTTTGTCTTCGGCAACAGAAAAATATTCTGATGCGCTACTACAGTCACTGGAGATGGATGCTTGGCTTAGCTCTTCTATATCAGAGAATGCATCATTTGGTGCTTCACCTCCCTTTTCTACTGCAAGCGGAGCTGTGACAGGGTCAAAGTGAGCTGCATTTTGAAGCAGAAGAGATTCAAGTTCATCCTTCTTCCTAGAAATATCTCCTAAATCTTGGTGCGACTTACATGTATTAGCAACAACTACACTGCTGTCATCTGCAACCTTCAGCTCCATTTGCGATTGTGTTGATGCAGCCCCTGGAGTGGAACAGGTCTTGCCTCCTTTAACAGAAAGGTCTGTTGTAAACAAAGGGTTAGCTGTAGGAGAACTACACAGTGCATTTTGCTGAGCAACTGCTTCTTCAGCCTTCACAGATATGTCCAAAGACAAAAATGTACTGCTACCTTTTGGGCTAAGTTCAGAAACGGCCAATTTACATACTGGAGGCATAGGTGCTTCTGCAACAGGACACATTTTGTCAGATCCCAGTTTAATTTTTTCGTTTTCATTTGTATTCTTATGAGATAAAAACAATGTTGAGGAGGAAGCTACTGAATCTGGGCTACTTTTGACAGTGCTTCCAAACGTAAAGAGAGGTGAAGATTTACATTCTAGGGGACAGTTATTTGAGAAGGAAAATATATCATCACCAAAGGAAGGGGGAGTCCTGGAACCATCATTCTTCCCTCTGGCAACACTGGATGTTATACAAGTTGTGGTAACTTCTGGAGTGTTAAAAGTAGTCTGTTCCCATGAAAATAATGTTGGTGATTTTAGCCACTTAGGCTCTAGTGTTTTGTCTGCAGAACTGTTGTTCTCTGTACCTGTCTGAAGTACTGTACTTTGTTCAGCTGGCTTCTCGTTAAAGCATAAAGATGGTGAAGCCTTTGATGAACTGTTGAGTTTAGATACTGTAAAAAAGTCTTCCGAATTGCCAAAGGTAAATGAAAAAAATGGCTTTCCATCATCAGCTGATCCTAGGTTATGACTGGCAGAAGTAGCAGAATCTTTAGCCTTGGTTAAACTTAGCTTTGTATCCTTATTTCCTTCTTGATTATCCATTTTAACTTGGGCATTACAGTTTCCCAAATAAAAAGTAGGGAAAACTGATTCACTGTTTGCCTTTTGGAAGGACACTGTAGCTACAGCCTTATTGAACTTGGGTAGTGAGTCATCACCTGAACCAAGGACAAAAGATGAAGCTGCAAGTCTTTCAGTTGAATTTGAAGTTGTGTCAGATGCTGTTGCTAACTGTGGTAAACTAGGTGCAATACTGAAACATGTTTGCTTTTCAGATGATTGAGGCACTTGTACTTTGTCTTTAGCTACTGAGCTCATTGATTCATCTGATGGTGGAGGGTGTTTGCTCACTTCTTGAGATCCTGTCCCATTAAGTAACTTGAAGTCACTGCATACTACAGGGAAATCCCTGTTCACAGGTGGAATGCTGAATCCTTGACTACAGGAACTGGAAACAGTGTTATCAAAAGCTTTTTCTCTTTCAAATTTTTCTGTTTTCATTCTCTCTGTATCTTTCACTTTTGCAGATGAACAAAAATGAGAAACTGCTGCTGATGCACTCTTCAAAGAGCCAATCACAAACTTATGCTTTTTATTTACATGCGCAGTAGGCACCTTAATCTGATCTGATGTTTTCCGATGGACCATATAATGTTTATAGCGTAGTTCCTACAATAACAGAAAAGAATAACATTACTTAGTATACTGAAAAAGCAGCCAGCTAAGACTACTAATTCTTTAAATAATATGTTGCAGCTATTTTTTAAATTTATTGTGTTTATATACTCTGACACTTTTGAGAGGGACAGGACTACTTTCAGCATCTTAAGCATTTTGATGGTAGTGTATGAAGGGCAACAGAAAGTAAATGTATGCTTAGAAAACATCTATATTTTTAAACAGTCTAATATCTAAGCTACCTAAATAAAGATCAATAGGGTCCTGAGCAGCTAAGTTAAATACTTAACTATGAGACTACATACAAATATGTTGACCAGAAGTTGAAGTACTAACTAGTTCTGATTTTTGCAGTAAATTTCAAATAGAAGCTCTGGCATATTTAAATCTAAAATACTTATAAAGGAAAAACTTGATTCCAATTTACTGTTATTTGGTGCTACAAACTATTTGCAAAGCTATGTTTTACCTGATAAAAACCTTTTTATATCAAGAAACCACAGAAAAGTTTCCCAAGAATAGGTGTATGGGTGCAATTAAAATATTGGTAGATAGAATTAGATGAACTATTTGAGATACCTTTGGCAAAAACTGAAAGGAGCACTTTAGAAATTAACAAGGTGTACAATCAAAACTACACACAGAAGACTCATTTGATCAATCATGCAGCCACTGGCCAAGTTGGCTTGGTTTGAAAACTAAGGTGACCTTCATACATGCTGGATGCCTGCTAATTAGCACGTGCCAGAGCAGACTTGAGTAATCAAATCTGCTGACCATGCTAATTAGCACACTCCAACTTGGCATCACATGTATTCAGCGTTCCTGTGCTTCAAAATGGCACTGGGGTGCTTTAACTAAAGCTTGTTGAACAAGCTTTAGTTGAAGTGTCTCCACCACCATTTTGAAGCTTGGGATGCTGAATACGAGACACCATGGACGTTTTACCTAGAGCAGCTCCTGAGAGCCGGGTCCCCGGCCACGTGTAAAGATGCCCAAAGCAGCTAATCCTATTTTACTTTATATGCACGACAGTTACCCTGACAGACAAGAGACATTTTTAGCATTTACATGGAGTTTACAACACTATTCAAGGTGATGTGTGAATAAGCAAGTGTTCAAATAGCTGTTAAAGCATGCAGTAGGGCTGTGCTCTGGCTAGGAACAGACATGGCACCATTCACTTGCTCAGGTATAATATGGAACTCTAGGCAAGTCCCAGTATTGTAGCCAAGTAAATGCCCATGACTAGCAGGACAGTTGGAAAGAAGAGGGGGGCAGAGGAAGGCTGGGCATACCCAGAAGTTGCAAGTTCTAGGGCTTCTTTGTTCAGAGAGAACGTCTGAACCTGCATCTCCCTGGCTCTAAATCAGCAGGCCACAGGTAAGACATTATCCAGTCCCTCTTCACACCTCTCCCTGAAGCTCAAATCATAGGTGCTACTTTACTGACTAAAATAAAGTTAGTGCTTTACATACCTTTGATAAGCAGCTTTACGGTAGAACTGGTTTTATTCTGGCATACACATTGCCAATAAAATGTCTATTTCAGAGAGTAAAATAGGGTTTCTGGAAAATGCCTTTCTACTTGCACACTGAAAAGATTTGATCTAGAAGTCATTAAGGGACAAAACCCACCTTTCAGATCATATCTACATTTAGGTTCATTCATTCTGCAAGCCAAAGTAGATAGCTTAGAAGTATGAGGTTAAGCAGGGATATATTAGTATCCACAACATAAATTCTTTATTGGGTAGGAATTTAAGGTGAATAAAACCTTTAGTAATAAGGAACAGAAGAGGCAGTATCTCTTGCCAAATGAACAACAAAATTGGAAAACATTTTTCCATCCGCCACAGAAAGAAGTTGGGCAAAACTGTTCTGAATCAGCCAAAATTCAGTGCAGCTGATGAAACTGAGTACAACTGAGAGAAACCCTTTCAAACAACTAGTCAGAAGAAATTGGGTCTTGGCATACTATGTATACCTGACCTACTATACAAGTGATGCAATGGTCCCATCACCGGAACCAGTGGTTTAAAAATCTGTAGCTTGAGTTACACAACCTTGATTACATAAAGTGAAAGACATCAAAAAAGAAACGCTTTATTAACTTTACAAAAGTAGTGGAGCTTGTTTCGCATTCCAGGAAAAGGCTGTGGAATAGACACAGAACAAGTCTGAATCAGTGTGCTTAATAGCCCAGGAATTGATAACTGAGCAGTATATTCTTACCTCAGGACTCATATTTTGAAATGCCAACATTCCTGATATTGACATCAAGCGAGTACAGATCCCACCGCCATCAGTGAATGTTTCCTCTTGTCCTGCTACAGGCTGTAAAAATGTTTTATCACAGACACAGCACATTTTAACAACAAGGCCAAAACACAGCAAGATTTTTAAAATTAAAGTATGTTGTAAATCTTGTACACAAGAACTTACATAAAATGTCTTGTGTATGGTCTTCTGGTCTTTCCAATGTTTTACACTATTTTTAAATACAAAATTCCCAGGTAAGCTTTCATTTCCTCCAGAAGGAAAATCAGCTAAGAGTAGAGAAAAAAAATAAGACCAATTAAAAAATATACAGTACGATACATAAAGCACACTTGTGCTAATTTTTCATTACACAATTGTCAAAGTAAGACAACTAAAATAACTTTCCTTTTTCAGCATGAAAGGAAGTACTGTTTTAGTATGAAATCTCATATGTGCTGCAAGATAATAAAATATGCACTATACAAAAATAGTGCAGTTAATGAGAATACCTTTAACAATGCAGTGTTCAACTGGAGTTAGCTGCAAGGCCAGTATTTCCTTAACTACAGATTTAATATCCATTTGCTTTTGGGTATACTCTGGTTCTTTTTCATAGCTAGATGCTATGTGCATCAGGTCAAGCTGAGTCTTCATTCTGGAAAACAAATGAGAATAAAAAGCTCATATGAACTTAATATAAAATGAATATGAAGCAGTCTGTAGATGGAAAGCAAATCCTGAATTTCTTTTTTAAGATCTGCTGACTAAATAAATGAGAAGATCTTGATGTAGAATTTAGATTTTCCTATAGAAAAAGGACCCGGGGGTTACAGTGGAGAAAAAGCTGAATATGATCCAACAGTGGGCCCTGACTATGCTGTTAGCCGTCTCTGTTGCAAAGACGGCTAACAGCATAGTGGGTTGCATTAGTAGGAGAGTTGCCAGCAGATTGAGGGAAATGATTGTTTCCCTCTTTTCAGCACTGGTGAGGCCATATCTGAAGTACAGTTTTGGGCCCCCCACTACATAAAGGATATGGTTGGAAAGTCCAGTACAGGGCAATGAAAATGGCTAGGGGGTGCACTTGTGAGGAGAGGCTGACAGAACAGGGCTTATTTAGTCTGGGTAAGAGAAGACTATGGGGAGATTTAATAGCACCCTTCAATTACCTGAAGGGTGGTTCCAAAGAGGATGGAGGCAGACTGTTCTCAGTGAGCGCATCTACTTTACTGCACAGTTGACTAATTAGCTCTGCAGTAAAGTGTCATGTCTACACATGTGCCCCATTTGGCCGGAGTAAACAAACTCTGCCGTAGGATAGCATTGCCCAACACAAGTACGATCCTATGATGGAATTATTTACTCCACTGCAACACACATGTAGACAGTGACTGGGGCTGGCTGGGGCCCGAGGCTACTACAGCGCAGGGGCTGCCTGCCAGCTAGCCCCACACTGGAGCACCTTTGTGCCACAGCCAGCCCCTCCGCAGCAATAAACTCTAGCACAAACTACACCACAGTTTATCGTGTCGCATTACTATCACATGTAGACACATCCAGTAATGAAAGATGATGGAACAAGAACCAATTGTTTCAAGTTGCAGCAAGGGAAGCTTACTTTAGATATTAGGAAAAAACTCCTCTCTCGTGAGGAGGGAAGTCATAAAGCACTGAAACAGGCTACTCAAAGAGGCACTGGTCAGGCCGCAGCTGGAGTACTGCATCCAGTTCTGGGCGCCGCACTTCAAGAGGGATGTGGACAACATGGAGAGGGTCCAGAGGAGGGCCACTCGTATGATCGGGGGCAGCAGGGCAGGCCCTACGAGGAGAGGCTATGGGACCTGAACCTGTTCAGCCTCCACAAGAGAAGGCTGAGGGGGGAATCTAGTGGCCTGTTACAAACTAGTCAGGGGACACCAGCAGGCACTGGGGAAGTCCCTGTTCCCCCGAGCACTGCCAGGAGTGACCAGGAATAATGGTCACAAGCTGGCAGAGGGTAGATTTAGGCTAGATATCAAGACGCACTACTTCAGTCAGGGTGGCTAGGATCTGGAACCAACTTCCAAGAGAAGTGGTGCTGGCTCCTACCCTGGGGGTCTTTAAGAGTAGGTTAGATGTACACCTTGCTGGGGTCGTTTGACCCCAGTACTCTTTCCTGCCATGGCAGGGGGTCAGACTGGATGATCTACTCAGGTCCCTTCCGATCCTAGAAACTATAAAACTATGAAACTATGGAGTCTCGAGCTTTAGAGGTTTTTCAGATCCAGATAGAGAAAGCCTTGGTTAGGATGATATAGTTGGGAACGATCCTGCTCGAAGCAGGGGACTGGACTATGTAACACCCTGAGGTCCCTGCCAACCCTAGTTTTCTATGATTGTATAATGTGTTACGGATTGCCTGTTCCTCAGAGAAACCGTACTTCAGAGTCTGAAAGGGTTAGTGCTTTTAGCTGTATACATGGCAACAGTTTCAGCCTGAGAGATTTTTTTTTATTTGAAATGTTATGATCTCATTACTTAAGCACTTAGTTTTGTTTACCATATGCATCAATGCTTAAAGACGGGACATAATGAAGTTGGGCACAAACAGGTTAACATACCTACTGTCAGACTACATTATTCTTAATGTTATTTATTTTAGAAGTACTACTTCTGCTAAACCACAAAACAGCAAGGAAACTTGTCATTCTACTGAGAAATGCTAAGTATACAACTGATGAATAAAAAGAAACTGCAAGTCTCAGAATGCACAATTCAGTTCTCCTGGAACAACCAATTCATCAAGAACAAAAGAGCTGATATCTTTTCTTTGAATGTGCAGTATTCGGAGTGGTAATCCAGGAAATAAGCATGGTTAAATCTACTGTTCCTGAACTCAAATTCCACATACCTCTTCGGAAGTAATTGCTGAAGGTATCACAGCAGAATTGTAAACAGTTCCATTTTTAACTTTCACTTTTACCTCATTTTTTTAAAAGATATATTACCCTATTAAGTATCAAACATTTCAATACAAAACTTTAAGGAGCTATATGGTATTTGCGTGTATGCAAACCTGAAATTAACAAATGAAGGTACTGTACTCCATTACATCAAACTTGCCGATTCCATACACTACAACTGATTGAACAAATGTGTATGAACTGCAACATTCAGGGTTCCAATTCATTAAAACAATAACCCAGAAGACTAGAAATACTCCCTTTGCACAGTAAATTAGCTGAAAGGAAATTTATAGATTCATAAAATGTAGGCTGGAAAGGACCTCGGAAAAAATCATCCGGTCCAGCCCTCCTGCACCAAGCAGGAAAGACAACTGGGATCAAGTGACCCCAGCAAGGTGACTGTCCAGTTTCCTCTTGAAGATTTGCAGGGTAGGTGATTGCATCATCTCTGGAGGGAGCTTATTCAACTGTCTGGACACTCTAGCTGCGAAGAAGGTTTTCCTAACATTGAGCCTGAAGACGGTCTTCCAGGAGTTTGTGACCATTGCGCCTGGTTTTCCCCAAGGGTGCCCAGGTGAACCGTTGTTCACCAAACCCATGATGTACATCCCCGGTATAGATGCTACCAAGTCCCCTCTCAACCTTCTCTTCTTCAGGCTGAAGAGTCCCAGGTCACTCAGCCTTTCCTTGTATGGCTTGCCATGCAAGGCTCTGATCAAACGGGTGGCCCTTCTCTGGGCTCTCTCAAGCTTTTCAATGTCCTTGTTGAAGTGCGGCGCCCAGAACTGGACACAGTACTCCACTTGCGGTCTCACCAATGCCAAGTAGAGCGGAAGTTATTCTTCCTTGGTTTTGCTGGAGATGCATTGATTGATGCATGCCAGATATGCAAAACAATTTTCTCCAATTCCACATAAAATTTACTTCAGAGCATCAAGAATTACGTATCTCAAAATTTCTTTATTCAAAGTTCTTGATAGTTATTTCATAGATAATGGCTACATGACGAGGTAACATAGGTCCAAAACACTCCGCTCCCTCAGAAACTAAATGTTGTCATTTCAGAGCAGCCTGATATCTACTAAGCTAAAGTACAGATGTTAAATTAGAAACCGGTTGCAAAACATTCAAATGGAGCAGTGAGATGTATTGACAAGATATTCATGGACAAACAAGAAAACTAGTATTAATATTAAGAGGATAGGGTAGGCCGTGCTCATGTGAGTTAAGTGTTTCAGTTCAAGGACAGCAAGTAATTACTTTCTTTCTGGTGCAATAAAATAAGTTTACTGGTGAGCATTCAATGCCACACTAAGGCAGCTATGTTAAAACTGTTCTGGAATGTGGCATATATTGTGTGGCTGTACTGGCTAGCACAGCCCTTTGGAGGGTACAGACATGCCCTAAAAGTCAAATATTACATAAAATTATCAACACTTAAAAACAAACCAGATTGGTTGATAAATTATGTAACCCAATTTCCTTAGAAGTCTGAGGCAGTATTTGTTTGATTCTTACCCGTTATAAGAAGTGTGAAGCTAATGTATCAAATCCAGTAAAACTCTAAAAATAGTTTAAAAATTAGGAGGTAATGACTCTTAAAATATTTTAGATCATTACCGCTTTTCACAATTTTCAGTAAGGACTAAACAACTAAACATTGGACCACCATAAATTTGAAATTAATACTTATTGCAAAAAAAAAAAAGTCTAGTTTTAGTATGAATTCATAATTTTAATATTAATCACAAAATTTGTCAATGATGTTAATATTTTGCAACCAAAGAGCTATTATTTAACTGACAGTTAAAGCAAATTTCTAAACATTACAACATATCTTTAGTTATCCAAACTCATTTAAGAAGCATAGTCTGAAAAGTCATCTGGGTAGCTTAATTTGTTCAGATAAGCAAAACCACAGCCTGTTGTAAGGAATTAACATGATAATATCCCAAACTTGACAGCACACATTTAATACAGTAAAATTTAAGGAGACAAGTTTGTTACACAACATCAGTAGTTACTAGTTAGTAAACTGAGGGCTCAGATAAATGAATATACTGTAGTACATCTATAGTACCTGGTGTACATCTGCCACCATGATATCTATAATCATCATTTTGCCGCTTCTTATTACTTTAATAAAATATAAAACAAACAAACACAGAGTAGAACAAGAAAATCATACCTTTTATTTAATCCACATGCCACCTATAATTAAAAAAAAGCATTAGTGATAAGGAAGTTTTTCAGATTCAGAAGAAGAAAATCATTACTTTATTGGAACACCTGTGACAGATAAAACATTTAACTTATTATATTCTTTACTTTTTCATTATTTAGCACTTACCCATAAAAGTATGCACAGGGGATATTCAGCATTCTAGGTCTGAGGGAACTGCTTATCCAGCAACATTCTGTATTTAGGCCAAAGTAAGATTCCTTTCTAGAGGCCAAATCCAAGTAACAGAAAACTGAGCTACACAGTGTGGTTATGACTTCCCTGCCTCCATACCCCCTCTCCCCCTCTAGGCCTATCAAAAAGGAAAAACATCAAAAAGAGGTACCACAAAAAGAAAGGAGCCTCCCCCAACCCCACAATATATTTTCAAAATCACATTTTCTTCTAAGTTATGGAAGGAAGCACACAAGCCTTTGAAAGATCCCTGCCAGAATTAAACTTTTTAAGAAGCAGACCACACTTCAGAATTTCAAGAGATGTTCTAGCAAAACCAGCAAAAAGAACTAAGTTAGTAAGAACACAATAAAACAAGTGAATGATATAAATTAGTAAATGTGTAGTGTCACCCAAAACATCAGATGTAGCCTGTGGCCTCAGAGAGGCCACGTGGCCTCCTCCCACTGCTTGGTTCATGTGCTCCAAGCGCCACAGACACACCTCTCTCTCACTGTGTCATGAAGGGCCCCTATGTCTCCTGGGCCACGGGCTTTCTTAGTATGTTGGACTGCACTGTGTAGCCCCAAGGGGGTAGGAAGTGGGAGAAAAAGCTCAGACGGCAGTGTCAGCAGCAGGAAAGCAATGGGGGGGAGGGGGGAGGAGGAGGGGGAGTAGTGCCCAGACTGAGCTACCCAGTTGGACAGCCCTGATTTATGTCATTACATAAAGGCATAGTTTAACTACATCATTGTTGAAAGTGACTAGGTCCTGTCAATTTAAAGATTATGAAAGACATAAGGTGTTCTGAGAAACAAAGTAAGGAGCCTTGCTATGGTGCAGCAAAAGCAATCAGAAACCAACACAAAACTTGGAACATCCTGTTTCTATAGACAATGAGCATTGTTTACCATGAATCTGGCAATACTAGAGATTAGTGAAAAAGATATTTATCTGATATAGAAGGGGCTTATTATAGAATTAAAAATTTGGCAGTGACTGGAAAAAAAACACACCACCACACCTCCGTCTTCCTAAGTAGGGACCAGAACAGCCACTTCCCTGCTGGGCCCCCCTCGGGCCCCGGGGGTGGCACACCTGGGCCAAGGGTTAGTGAGGATTTAGTTAGGGAGCTTCTGGAGGGGCTGAACGTTTTCAAGTCAGCCGGCCCGGATGATCTCCACCCTAGAGTTCTAAAG